ATAAAGGATTTTGGAAAGGTCACTTTTATGCCCTTCCTTCCTTTGTGAAGTTATCAGGGAATTTAGTTAGAGAGTTGGTGTATCCAGGTATGAGCACAAAACTATTTAACTTAAAGTAGATAATTTTCATTTGCATGTCACTTAGTTATCACTTATGTAGCTTTCTGCAAATAGTTTTCATTTATGTGGTGGCTATTTGCAGAAAGTCACATATATTTGTGATATGAATTTTATACTATTTAGTTCATCGTTTATAATACTGTAAGCAAGATGATGTTCCCTTCATCCTAACTTCTTCCCTCATTTTCTTTTTTAATTTTACTGTGTGCTTCTTTACTTTTCTTCCTTTTCTTCCCCTACTTTAGGACTTAATGTGTGATCATTCTAGAAACTGCTGATCCACTCAAATCTATTGTGTTCTCACCCAAGAATAATCTTTATTATGTGCACAATATAGGAAGGACAGCCAGCTATGCTGAATTTTTCTCAGTAAACACGCAGATAAGCAGTCACTGTTACTCAACACAAAGGAAGCAATGTTGGTGCTAAAACACCCTTTGCTTCCTGACACCTAATCCCATCTCTTTTTAATGTAAAATTTGTTTTTATCAAAGGAAAACATGCACATAGCTTAAAAAGTAAATCATTCTGCAGATTTATCATGAAATACATACCAAAACTATGCTCTTCTGTATCACTCTTCTTAATTCCAACTTCCATGTCCCAGAAGCAACCTCTTCAAGTTTCCCTGATGTCCTAGGATTTACCTCCATGCCTCTGAGTGATACATTCCTGTGCCATTTTCCCACCTGTCGGTCGTAGACCTCACCCACTGACTTCCTACTTGGAAAGAGGAGAATTTGTAACCTTTTCCACCCACTCTTCCCTCCACAGGCACACATCCATACTTCTCTTCCATCCTTTGAAAAAATGTTCCACAATCTTAATTTTATTAATATTCACTGCCTACATTACTATAAAGATGTACCTATTTTTTGGAGGTGGTACAGGACATTGAACTCAGGGCCTCATTTGTAAGCATTCTACCACTTGAGCCATACACCTAGTCTTTCTGGCTTTAGTTTGAAAGCCCGGGCCAACCTTGGGTTACCGTCCTCTTGTCTTTGACTCCTGAGTACCTGGGATTATAGATGTGTTCTATTATGCCTGGCCCCAGATACAACTGAGCCACAAAGTATTCTACGGTTATATTCCTTACATTTTTTTTAAGTTATCTTGGAACTCCTTAAAAAAAAAAAGGCAATAGTTCCATATATTTTTAATTAATTCTTTTTTGGTGGTACTGGGGTTTTAACTCATTGCCTCATGCTTGCCAGGAAAGTGTTCTACCACTCGAGCCACACACTTAGCCCTTTTTCACTTTTGTTACTTTTCAGGTAGGGTTTGACTTTTGCATGGGGCTGGCATCAGACCCTAATCCTCTAACTTATACTGCCTGCATAGCTGGGACCATAGGTATGTGCCACCATACACATAGCTTAGTGATTGAAATTGAGTCTTGCTGTTTTTGTTGTGGCTGGCCTCAAACCACAATCCTCCTGATTTTTGCCTCCTGAGTAGCTGGGATTACAGCAGCCTTTATTTATTTATTTTTAACATTTTAGTATATAATAGTTGTACAAGGGATTTGTTGTGACATTTTCTTATATGTGTACAATGTACCTTGGTTTGGTTCATCCCCTCCATCATTCTCCCTCTTCCCCCTTCTGGGGGGATGTCATTAAAAATGACTTCAACAGGTTTCAATGTTTCCTATTCATACATGGGTGGAAACTCCATCAACAATATTCACCCTCCTTTACCCTCTTCATTTACCTCCCTCCCTCTCCGGGTAGAATCCTTACTATGACTTGTTTTACATTCTTGTCTTTTATTGTTTAGGTGTCTCTTCATTGTCCAGTGGGGTTTCTTCATGGTATTTTACGTCTAAAATATTGTACTTTCATCAGTTAAACCCCTCTCTCTTACCCTTTTCCCTCAACCCATATTCTTCAGCAGTTTTCAGGGTGTTTCACTGTGTCTTGTTCCTATATGGATGTAATATATTTCACTATTATTCACTATCTATCATTCTCTTCTTTTTTCCTTCCTCCCTTAGTCTCCTCCAATGGTCTCACTTTTGGAAACATTACACACACACACACACACACACACACACACACGTATATATTATAATGCTTGTGTTTGTACTTGGGGCAATCTTTCACATAACAGAGAAAACATGAGACCTTTGTCTTTCTGAACCAGGTTAACTTCACTTAACATGATGTTCTCCAGTTCTATCCATTTACCTGGGAACAAGAAAATTTCATTCTTTATGGTTGAATAATTTTCAAATATATATATCATATTTTTTCAGTCCATAGCTTGGCTATTGTGAATAATGCTGCAATAAACATTGTGCACGTATCTTTATTGTATCTGACTTACATTCTTTGAGATATATGCCCAAGAGTGGAATTGCTGGATCATATGACAGTTCTATTTTTAGTTTTTGAGGAGCCTCCATACTGTTTTCCGTTGTGGTTGTACTAATTTACATTCTCACCAACATTGCATGAAGGTTCCTTTTTCCCCACATCCTCACCAACATTTGTTGTTGCTGTGTTCTTGATGATGCCATTCCAACAGGAGTGAGTGGTGTGGTTTGATTTGCCCTTCCTTATTGTGGCCCTTATTTTTAACTAATTCTTTTCCTGAGCTTGCCAATAACACTACAAATCTCTGCTTAGTATATTCGGGTGTTTTCATCTCCCTGATGCTTGTTTTTCTTGGAGATGTCTCTCCTGCAACACTCTGGTCTCTTATTTCACTGGAATCCAATGCCTGCTGTGTAATTGTTACCTTGAGTCTTGTTTCACCAACACCCAATTTCATCTCCCCCCTTCTATGTTGAAATCTGCTTTCCTGAATCCTGTATTTTCCTGATCACGAATAGATATATTACCCAAAGATTCCAAAGGAAAAAAATACACATAAAAAACCCTTTTGACTAGTGAGCTAGAAGTATCTTTAGTGCTATTGATAGCATGGAAACTTGGTACTCAGATGTAGCTTTGTGTTATGTCTGTTTGGAGGGAGTATTAATGGGCTGAAAAAAGGTATCTTAGTACAGTTTCACCTTGAATTTAAGTAAGGATGAGTGTATTTGTTGTTACTTTTGTGAAATCTTTAAAAATTTATTCTTAAATTTTGCCCAGTTTTTGATTTGGTTGTTGGCTTTTGACATTTTTATATGTAGAAAATTCTTCTATACTAAAGAAATCAGGTCTCCCTCCATTTTATTTACCACAGGAGCTGCTAATATTTCCCCTCAAGGACTCACACCCCACTTAGGGCAATTTGGTCACCTCTTTTAAAATTAAAGATGTGCTTTATCCAGTGATATTTATTTATAGTATCTATCTAGCAGATATCTCCACATATGGGGAATAGGATATTCTTTGCATAATTGTTTGTAAAGAGGAAAATTTGAAGCAACTTAAATGTGCACCAACGTAATCTAGTTAAATAAACTATGATGTACTTAGTGGAAGATTACCCAGCCATGGAAAGAATGAGGTGGTTCGAACTGTACTGAGAAGGAAAGAAAGGTCTCTATGACACATCTTTTTAAGCTACAAAATAAATCGCAGAACAGTATGCATAACTATTATCCTTTTGGATAAAAGAGCAATATACCTGTTAGAACATCACTGAGGGTAGGTGGTAACTGTGCCAGGAAAAGTTGCCTCTGAAACATGAGCTCAGTTGGGGAGCAGGAATATGAGGTACATGCTTTTTCTTTTTTAACAGCATTCTTGGTGTATAATTCACATACTCTGAAATTCCTGAGTATTAAGAGTTTAGTTAATGACTTTAGTGCATTTTTCACATTGCAAACT